TGGGCAGTGGTGGCACACGCCTTTAAACTCAGCACTCGGGAGGCAGAGGCAGGCGAATCTCTATGAGTTCGAGGCCAGCCTGGTCTACAAGAGCTGTTCCAGGATAGGCTCCAAAACTACAGAGAAACCCTGTCTTGGAAAACAAAAAACAAACAAAAACAAAAAAAAAAGCTAGGCAAAGATGCAGGAGGTTGCACCTTGTTCAGTGTTAACTGTGGTGCTGTGACTATTACCACCCCTAGTGGAGGAGCCTGGGCTAGAAAAACAAAGCATTTGCGGACATTCCAGACTGTAATGGGTTTATATGACACCTTGCTTTGACATTTCCAGAAATAGTAGCTGCTCCTTGAGGTTGTAGTGTAGAAATTCGGGGGCAGTTTACAGGGGTGAGACCGGAAAGCAGCAGGGATCAGGTTTTCTTTCTTTTTTTTTTTTTTTTGAATGGGGGGTTTGAGACAGGGTTTCTCTGTAGCTTTGGAGCCTGCCCTGGAACTAGCTCTTGTAGACCAGGCTGGCTTCAAACTCACAGAGATCCGCCTGCCTTTGCCTCCTGCGTGCTGGGATTAAAGGTGTGTGCTACTACCATCCAGCCCAACAAGGATCAGTTTTTGCCAAGACTTTGAGTTACATTAAAGATTTGCCAGGCCTTGTCACACTGGCCTGTAGTCCCAGCTACAGTGAAGCTGAAGCAGGAAGATTGTGGTTCAAGAACTGCCAGGCTACTGAGTGAATTCAAGCCTCCCTTGGTGACTTAATGAGGCCCTGTGTCAAAAAGTAAAAAGAGAGGCTGAGAGCTAGGTATGAGGACACATACCTGTAACTGTAGCACTCAAGAAGACCCAGAGTTCACGGTCAGGGTTATCCTCATCTACAGAAAGTTTGAGTTCCTGTGGTAGAGTGCTTGCCTTGCATGTACACAACCCTGGGTTTAAGCCCCGGAAACTATTCAAGGAAAAGGGGACCGTGCAGGATGAGAGAGATGCCTGTCACCATCTGACCTGAGTTTGATCTCTAAGACCCACTCAGAAGGAGAGAACCAACTCCCACAAGTTGTCCTATGAGGCATGCATAGTTAAAATACATGTGTATGTATCTGTAGACTTTAATCGGGCAGGCTAGTGCACACCTCACTCCCAAGCACTGAGAGGCAGAAACAGATCTCTTGAGTTCCAGGCCACCCAGCGCTACATTGTGAGACCTAGCTCAAAAAAAAAAAAAAAAAAAAAGGACAGGAAGTATGAAGGAATTTAAAGAGGGAAGAACATAAGATTTATGTAAAAAAGGACCATATTGGCTACAAGAGAGTGGATCTGAGAAGCAGGCTAGACTGTTTAAACAGAATTACAGGATGTGAACTTAGAGGTGACTGGCTGCTGGAAAGTGGAAGCATTGATTAGCAGTGGTCCTCAACCTTCCTAATGTTGCGACTTTTTTTTTTTTTTTCCCGAGACAGGATTTCTCCGAAGTTTTTTTTTTTGTTCCTGTCCTGGAACTAGCTCTTGTAGACCAGGCTGGCCTTGAACTCAGGGAGATCCTCCTGCCTCTGCCTCCTGAGTGCTGGGATTAAAGGCGTGCGCCACCATCACCCGGCTGCTGCGACTCTTTAATAGACCTCATGTTGTAGTGACATCCCAGTCATAAAATTATTTTTATTGCTATTTTGCTACTGAGCAGTGTCTCATTTCCTAATACCACCAGAAATGTTTTCTGTTGGTCAAGACCCACAAGTTGCGAACCACTGGATTACAGCATAAGGAAACCAGATCCACAGGTTTCATACCACGTGAGATCTGGCCAGCGGGAGTTTTGAGTGGACTGCATACAGTGCTGTTTGCTGATGTGAGGATGCCTGAGGAGGAAGAGGAAACTTGGGGAGAATATCCAGTGTTTGGGGTGTTTTATCTGTTTATCTGGAAAGATCTGTTTGGAGCATTTGAGTTTATGGTGGGACTGGAGAGAAGTCCTGGTTGGGGAGGGCGGCCTTCAGGAGCATCCAGAACTCATGATTTGGGTGCATGGCATGGGGAGAGGTCAAGAATGACTGAGATATGCAGCCACCTCCCAGCACAGGTAAATCAGCATTTGCTCACTGGTGGCCTGGGGGGCTAGGCTAGGACATTTACTTGGGCCAGGGGAGGCAGATTGAGTGATTTGTCCAGCAATGAGGGAGGAGCCAGATGAAGTCAATAGAAAACTAATTTTCTTTTCTGCTAGAAGAAATGAGGTGTGTGGCCGCTGGGTAATTGCAGATAACGAGGGGACTTATTCTTAATATGCACAGCGGCCATGGTCTCCAGAGTGCTGAAGACAGGAAAGATTTGAGGTACTCTGGCAGGGCTGGGTTTGTTTGGGAAGAATATGCCTCTATCCCAGGTTCCCCCGACTCTCACCAAGCTCACGGCATCTGGCCCCACCATAACTCTCCAGGTCCTTCTGTTCTCTTCCCGTCAACTGCCTAGCTTCTCCTGTCATAACCCCTCCCTCCACCCTCTACCCCCACAGTACTGGCGTACTCACTAAGGGAGACAAATGACAGGCCCTCAGCTGAGCGGGCCGCGTGTCCGGCCCATAAACCACGGGGATGGGTCATGTCTGGAGTTGCCATGGCCGCCACTACCCACCCATCTGTCTTCTCCCCATTCTGCCTCGGAGCAGATCAGCCCTCTTGGCTTCCTGAGTCCCTAGGGAAACAGGGTATCACCTCCACACTCTGTCCACTGCAGGTATATACATTTTGAATTCTTCTAAGACAGGATCTCATCGGATTGGCCTGCCCTTGGCCCTTGATTAATGAGACGTTTAGCTCAGAGGGTACAGAGGTCCCCTAGGCTGCAGTCTTGGGTGAGGGCAAACAGAGGCTCCTGACCTCACCAGCACCCCTCATTTGATGATGCCATCGGTGTATTATGGTACTTGTGCACACGGCATCCATCTAATGAGGATAGGGTAGTGGCTGAGGCCATAGCTATGAACCATGGCTTAGGAACGGAGGTGAGAGAAATCAAAGGAGACAGTGGGGGACTGCTCTGGAGGCTGAACAACATAACAGGTAGATGGGTGGTTTCTGTACTAGACATCCTGTGTTGCAGGGATTCTCAACCTTTCTAACTCTGCAACCCTTTAGTACAATTCCTCATGTTGTGGTGACCCCAACCATAAAATTATTAAATTGCTACTTCATAGTTATTCTCATAGTAATTTTGCTGTTATGAATCATAATGTAAATATCTGATATGCAGGGTATCTGTTATGTGACCCCAGAGGGATCATGACCCAGAGCTTGAGAACCAATGTTTTTAGGTCAAGCTCCTTCGTCTATCTAGAAATTGAGCAGGTCCTGTCCTGGCCAAGTCCCTAGAGTCCCTATAGCCTCCAGGCTACCAGATTAGCTAACAGCATGGAGTTTTTCAGAGGCCAATACCAGAGAAACTGGTAGAGTCCGACACATAAAGGCTGTTTAACCTGGTGTTTGAGCAGACACGAGATCCCAAAAGGTGGCCAGCAGCCAGCCTCCTGGGACAGAGGCAGGATGTAGGCTGACTCGTGGGTGTCTGGTAGGGCTAACAGCACATGAACCAGGGCCTTCCCAGCCTGTCTGGAGCTACATGGAGACAGGTGTTTCCCAGGATTCTGGCACAGCCATGCCAAGTCTTGTGTCTTGTCATCGGTTGAGTATGGCCTGGACCACAGTCCCCCCACATACAAGTGCCACAAAGTCACCCTGGCCGTGGGTGTGATGAATGGCCGCACAGTAATGAAATGGAGACATCAAGGAGGGTGGCGGGAAGACGGAGTGTGGCAGACAGGCCGTCCCCATGCGGCAGCAACAAGAAGGATCGCCCAGCGGCCAGGGGCCGTCAAGGGAGAAATTACACATTTACTCTGCCTTTTTCTTACTGCGACGGCGCCCATACATCACCGCTGGGGCTGGGATAGGACACAGCGGCCAATTTCCAGCATGAATTATGGGACTGAGAAACATTGAGTCCAGGCTTCCTGTAGGCCCAGTATCACCAAGCCCAACCCAAAGCTAGAGATGTTGCCACCAGAGCCAGTTGTCCTCCTTAAGCCCTTGGCTCCTGAGTCTGGCCGTCTAAATGTCTTCTCTTCTCTCTAGATGACTGCAAGAACATTGCCAACATCATGAAGACATTGGCTTACCGAGGTTTCATCTTCAAGCAGACATCAAAGCCCTTCTGATTGGCAGAGGACGGGATGGGGCAGGACAGGGTAGCTGCTTGGCCCAAACCAGAATCCTCCTCTCCCTCACCAGAGGGGAAAGGGAGAGTGGCACAGCTCTGCGCCCCAGAGTGTCCCCCAGCTGCCCTATGGGCTTGTGCCCTAGGTGAGGGCTTGGCCACTTGGCCCCTCTGGAGCAGACACTTTGTGCTCCACCCCCTCCCACTCCTCAGTCTCCACCCAGTATTAGCCCCTGCCGTTATGGGCCTGGGCTAGGGGGAACCCAGGTACTCACTGCCTTCTCCCTGGTACACAGGCTTCTGCTGGGGCCACCGAGTCCCCCCTGTGCCCCCTCCCATCCATAGTGCATGGTGTGTGGTGCCCCCAGGGCTCCAGGACAGATCAGGTCCCACCTTGTGTCCACCCCCATCCCTGCTGTGAACGTGCCACTGAATAAAGTTGGGGAAACAAGATCCTAGTGTGCGGGAGCCATCCCTGTGTGCAAGGCTGTCACTCCAGGCTTCATCTCCATACAGAGCCGCTGACGCTGCAGTACCTTCGATGCCTTCATTGAGGATGCATAGACTGGGAGCAGGAGGCCAAAGGACCTGCCAAAACTGCTGCTATCTGAGTCCCCTGCTGTGTAAGCCATCTAAATACAAACACAGGTGTCCAGGTGAGGAGTCTAGGCAACAGAAAAATGGTGAAGGGCCTGAATGTGGGCACTGCAAGCAAGCCTTTAGGAACTGATTGTAGTGACCAATCTATCAGCCTGTCACCCCAGCCAAGGATATGAGGAGGTAAGGAAATAGAATCAGCCAGTCAGTGTAACAGCTCTGTTTACACCACACCCCAACCCTAGCGGCCCCTTCATGGTTTCTTGGCTTTCTTCACAGAAGATGAGCTGGAGGCGGATTCCCGTCGTTTCCGCTGAAGAGACAAAAAGTGCTGAGGTTAGTGGCCTCTGAGGTGTGACTCAAGGTTTAGTGCCTGTCATTCTCAGAGAAGAGGCCCGGTAGTTAACCTAAACCTACTCCTGTCCTCAGCCTCTCCCCTCACAGTGGCAACCATTCTCTTGAAGGCTGTACATACATGCATTCTCTTACAGAGCTAAGGCATGCTCCCCCAAGCCTGCCCAGGCTCTTACCGAATTGGGTGTGAGGGGTGCACCCACTACATCAATGATGGTGTCCTTGGTGGGGTCAAGGCCAAGTCCAGATTCAGACACTGCTGGCTCAGCAGAGGCTGGGGTTGGTCCCACTGCTGGTGTGGCAGGGCCCCCCAGCACTCCTGCCCGAGCCAGGGCCTCATGCCGGTGCCGCAGCATCTGTAGCTCATATTCACAGTTGGCACAGGCCTGCTTGAGCTCGTAGAGTAACACCAGGTCACTCCGCAACTCGTTGAACATATGCACCAGCTCCTCCGTGGGGGTGGGGCTCAGCTCTGCAGGCAAGACAAAGCCAACTGTGGTTGAAGGCCTGCAGTATGAATTGTCCTCCCTTGCACAGCCCCCGGGAGAGGGAGCTAGCTAGCTATCCCATGAGGCTCGGAGTCACTCACCTACTCCAAGCTCCAGCAGCATCTGTTCCAGCGCCTTGATCTTCTTCTGACCCACAGAGCTGGGCAGCTTCATCTGCAAAGACAGTCAGCTAAGTCCCACACCCCTTGATGAGGCTTAGGGAGAAGAGGGTTGGTTCAACAGTGAGGCTCATAGGTAACCTCTGCAAGTAGCTATGGCTAAAATGGAACAAGCTGAGAAGTGGAGAATAGTAAAGGCAATCTCGGCCTGGCCGTGTCATGAGATTGTGGCAGGGTCACCTCTTTTCACAGCCCCCTCTCCCATGGCTTTAGCCTTGGCATCTGTAGCACTTAGGTCATTGGGAGCCCAGGACGGAAACACTGAAGGAGGTAACTCACGCGCTGGCTCCGCAGTGTGACACCTGCCGACTTAAAATCTGGAAACTTGATGCCTGCAGTCTCAGGAACAGCCTGGGGGGAAGAGTTAGAGAGCCTAAGGTGTCACAGGGAGTGGCCCGGGGACCCACTGACTCGGGGTACTCTCAGAATGCCCACTTGAAGCTGGGCCATTTAACCTCCATATGGAGGTCAGCCTCCATACCGGCTTCTCAGCCTCCTTCTTCTGGGGTAGCTTTTTCTTGGGGGCCTTGCGTTCTGTGCGCCGCTGCTCTGCAGTGGTGTCTGCTGCTGTAATCAGCTTCTGCAGGTCTTGGCTGCGTTTTTCCCGCTCTTTTTTCCGGGCCTCGATCTTACGAAGCTCCTGTAGCAGGTACTCTTCCTCTGCCACCTGCAAAACCAATGCTTTGGCATGTATGGGAGCTGTGTGGAAGCAGGGCAGCCAGGGAGCTGAAGGACACTAGGTTCCCATGAGGGAACCAGAGGTAAGGAAACTGCAGGGAAGGAAGAACAGGGGAACCATGGGAATGGGCTGAAGGTGGAGGAGCCTACTACAGGTGACAGTTGAGGCCATGGAGGGTGGGAAGGCAAAGGGTTTTAGGTAAGGGTAAAGGTCATGAACCTGTTCTGGGGTCCGGTTATAAAGCCGCTCCAACTGTTCCTTCCGCCGTCTCTCATGCCCAGCATCAAATACTGGTATTTTGAGATCTGTGCCCGGCACAGCCCTGACGTTGGCAAGTTTGGCACAAATATGGTAGTACCTCTCTTTTAAATCCTCTACAGAACGTTTCTGAGAATCAGAACACATGGGGATGAACACTGAGGAGCACGTGGAAGGGATGGCAGGAGGGCTGGGCAATGCACACCGGCTCACCTTGAACTGCTGGTGGTCATACCGATCATGGATAACTACAAAGCGCAGATCAAATCGGCGGCTGAGGTCGAAGAGGTGGTCAGTCTCTGCCTTAGTCCATGCGTCATCGTGAAGGTAGAGCTGGTACTCCTGCTCTGAGTACACGGGCACCTGCACCGTCTACTGGCACAAAGACATAAGGACCGCATTCCTTTGTCATATGCCCAAGCAGGCTGGCCATGTGACCACACCCCTTCTTGTTTATTACCAACCCCTATGTAGAAGCAGCCTGTAGGAAGGAAAGACCAGTCTGATTGGCCAGAGGCCCCTCCCTAGAAGGCTCTGGGTCAGTGGCCTGCCTGGTTCACTCCAAGACATCATCTTTGGGAATGAACCACATGCTCCTGCCTGACTTGTAAACACTTCTGTGGCACTCAAGGGTCAATTGTGGAGTCAAACACCCATCAGACAGAGAAAGGCCCAGCGCCCCTAGGCCATGCACCACTTGTCTAAAGCACTACTGCCACCCAGTGGTAACAGCGGGACTTGCCGATCCCAGAACACTTCAAAGTTGGGCATCTCCAGGAAATCCTACTGCCAATGCCCCTTCCTCTCCTGGCCCATATTCCTCCTTCTGCCCCAGGTCTCTCTCTCAGATATACCAGCATCACCATAAGCTGGGACTATAGATCAGAAGCAAGGAAGGAGTCAGTGATGGGCTATATCAGGAAGTTTCTTTTGAATTCAAAAATACACCAGGCTCTTTCCTGTTGCTCTTGGGACACTTCCTACCAGAGGTCACACATGTCCCACCTTAACATGCTCAATACTGCAGTCATCCCTCTTGAACATCTTCAGTCCAGACCTCAACCACAACAGCCAGCGAAAGAACCCTGGGTGTGTTGTTAATTGGTGATGGTCTCTGTTTCTGTTTTGTGTTGACATAGCCTTGGGAAGTAGTCTTGGCTGGCCAGTACTCTCTGTGGAGGCCAGACTGGTTCTAGCTCACAACAGTCCTCCAGCCTCAGTCTCCCCAGTACTGGATTGCAGGCATGCACCAACACAGCTGGCAATGGAAATATCTTTTAATTCCTACTTTTTGCTCAATCTGTGGCTTCACCTCCAGAATCCCCTCCAAATCCATGGCCATAACCCACTTAGACTGGCCTGCATCAGAGAAGCAAAACCACCTTCCTACTTGGGCTACCCTTCAGTTCTCTTCCAAACATTTCTCCATCTGCAAACAAGATGTGACCTGCACCATGTTACTTATAGGCCAACCCGTGTGGCTTGTCACAACTGACCTACATTAAGAATAGAAACAGGCTGGGCGGTGGTGGTGCACACCTTTAATCCCAGCACTCGGGAGGCAGAGGCAGGTGGATCTCTGTGAATTCGAAACCAACCTGGTCTACAGGGCGAGTTCCAGGACAGGCTCCAAAGCTACACAGAGAAAAACCCTGTCCCCAAAAACAAAACGATAACAAAAAGAATGGAAACAGTGCTCACAGGGGACACCTCTCAAAGCCAGCAATCCAACTGGAGGGAAATGGAACAGAAAAACAATTTGGGTACGATGTGGTAAACCTGATGATAAATATAAACAAGTGACCCTGGGTACAGCTTAGGCACAGAGCTGCTCAGAACAGAGGTAAATCAAGCCTAGTCCTTTGTTTTGTTTGTCCGTTTTTTAGACAGGGTTTCTCTGTGTAGCCCTGGCTGTCCTGGTTCTCACTATATACACCAGGTTGGCCTCGAACTCACAGAGATCTGCCTGCCTGTCTCCCAAGTGCTGGGATTAAAGGCGTGAGCCACCACCGCCCAGCCAGGCCTACTCTTCTTATTTCTTTTATATTAGGGGCATAGATATTCAGGATTGAGATGTCATCCTGATGAATTGTTCCTGTTATGAGTATAAAGTGTCCATCTCGATCTCTTCTGATTGATTTTAGTTTGAAGTCAGTTTTGTTGGAAATTAATATGACCACACCTGCTTTTTTCTTAGGCCCATTTGCTTGAAAGACTCTTCTTATTTCTTATTTACTTTGCTGTTGTTTATGTGCCTGTGGAAACCAGAAGAAGCACTGGATGTTCAGAAGAAGCTGCAGTTTGAGGTGGCCATGAGCCACTCTGGGTCCTGGGAACCAAACTCCAGTCCTCTGGAAGAGCAGTAAATACTCCTAATCACTGAGTCGTCTCTCCATCCCTGTGCAGTGTTTGTTTGTGTAGCCCAGGCTAGCCCTGAATTCAGTTTGTACCTGAGGATGACTTTGAACTCCTGATCCTCTTGCCTCCACCTCCCAAGTGCTGGGATTACAAGTGTGCACCATCTTACCAGGCTAAATCTTCAGGTTAAGGAAAAGTGAACTAGTGAAGGAGAACAGGGGACAACACAAGTACAACATGAGTTCAGACAAACGAAACAAACACCCTAATGCTGGGCCTGCCTTCAGGAACCAGGCTGGGAAACTGGCTGAGCTGAGGAGTCTGATGTAGCAGCAGAACCAGCTGCTACAGGGCGTGCACCCTTCTGGGAGTCTCGACTCCACCTGGAGGGTGACAAGATCCAATATAGCTAGGCTGAAACAGATCAAAAGTCCTAACATTCTAGACTTGGGTTCCATGCCCAGTGCTCACATGGTGACTCATGATCATTTATAATTCCAGTTCCAGTGGATCCGACTCCCTCTTCTGGCCTCCACGGGCGCTGCACCCATATAGTGTGCAGACACATGCAGGTAAAACACTCATACAATAAAATAATTTTTCAAATGGTCCCGTTTCTTGTATCTAAGACCATTTGGCAACAGAGGAGACACTGGGCTGAAAGAAGAGTAGGAGACTGAAGCCAGCTCCCGCAGTGATGGAGGGGAAGCCGTGAGCCCAAACTAAAGCAGAAAAGAAGCACAGGCTGCAGGCCCAAGTAACAAGAAGTTAAGACCAAGGAGGATGTCACATCAGTGACTCCTGGACCCCCGGCCTGAGCACCAGCGCAGGGAGAATCGCTGGGAGAGAGACTCTTCAGAGGAGCCACGGAAAAGGAAGAGCACGAATCCACTGAACTCTGATTTCATTCTCTACCTTGTTGTCATCAACCAGACCTGCCCAGAACTCATCCAATCCTGACACGACTCTTAAAATCCGTGGTGGCTCCTCAAAGACAAGAGGGCGAAGGCCAAGTTCTTAGGCCTCCTTGCCAAGGGCTACCTGGCATGGTCACTGTTGACCAATTGTGCCACACCTCCCCTACATTACCCCACATAAAGCTTTATCAGTGTGGAAATCCCCAGAGCATCCAATATGCAGGAACCTTTAAAATTCTTTTATTTATTTACTTATTGGTGTTTTTTTAATTATTTATTTTATGTGCATTGGTGTTTTGCTATAGGTGTCAGGTTTCCTGGAACTGGCGTTACAGACAGTTGATTTTATTTTTATTTTTTTAAAATATTTATTATGTGTACAATATTCTGTCTGTGTGTATGTCTGCAGGCCAGAAGAGGGCACCAGACCTCTTTACAGATGGTTGTGAGCCACCATGTGGTTGCAGAGAATTGAACTCAAGACCTTTGGAAGAGCAGTCAATGCTCTTAACCACTAAGTCATCTCTCCAGCCCCTTTATTGGTGTTCTGAGAAAGGAAATCTCTGTGTAAGAGCCTTGGCTATCCTGGAACTTGTTTTGTAGACCAGACCAGGCTGGCCATGAACTCACAGAGATCCTCCTACCTCTGCCTCCCAAGTGTTGGGGCTAAAGGCATACACCACCACTTCTTTTTCATTTTTAAATTACATTTTTGTTTTCAGGTGTGTGGGGATGAGAGTATTTGGAGGTCAGAGGACAACATTTGGCATTTGGGGGTCTGTTCTCTCCTTCCATCACTGGGTCCTATAGGCCTAGATGCAGAAGCCTCTGAACCCTTAGATTCCTGTGATTTTTTTTCTTAACCTCACCATGTTCCATGTGCATGAAGGGAGAAAAAAAAATCACTGCACCACCTAGTGACATCATCAAGAAAACTCCCATAACCTTCTAGCCCTCCCAATAGCTCATCTCCTACCAGACTGAACTTGTCCTCATCTTCCTCTACCTCTCAACAGCATGAAGTTTTTAAGGACAGACACTTGATTTCTTGTTATTGTCAATGTCTAGGCTTCACATGCTGAAGCAGTAAAGACTGGGAGCCCTTATGTCTTCACACCAGTCTGTCTCATCCAGCCCTTCCTCAGAGACCTCTTTCCCAGCTTCTCCAGCCTGAGGGTCCTAAGAACGATGCTGGGATGGAGGACACTGATTTGGAGTGGAGGTATTGAGTCACGCTTAGCTGTGCTCAGTCTGAGAAAGCCTATATATAGTCCCCCAGGAGGGGGGCCAGGTACAGTGAGATACACTGGGCTGAGACAAGTCTGAGTTTGAGCCCCTTGTGGTTTTAAGCTCTAATTCTAGACTGTTCTGAACCACACTATACTGTGCTTTAGCCATGGGCTATCCAATCCTAGCCTACTCTAACCCTTCCTCTCATTGGCTGGGTGAGACTGGAAAAGGCCCCACTTTCAATAAGGCTCAATAATCTAGGCCAAAATAAAATATAACTGATCTTGGTTTACAGTGCTGGCATAAAGGAAGAAGAGCACAAGCAGAGGTATGACTGGCAACAGAAACGGAATTAGCAGATGAGACATATCATGAGGCCTAGTTCAAATGCCACCCTTCCAGAGAGGACCTCCCTGACCAGCCTGTCTAAGGTAGGCCTTGGGGCTGGCAAGGTGGCTCAGAAGACCAGACAACCTGAGTTTGATCCCTTGGGCCCATGTGATAAAAGCAGGGAAAAAGCTTCCGTAGGCTGGCATGTGTATGCACAGCAATCAATCAATCAATCAATCAATCAATAAATAAAAGTAGGCCTCTCCCTCACCTATAACTGCACCATTTATCTCATTTCTTGTCCATTCACATTCCAGTTCTATCATATTGGCGGTGCTTATCTGAAAGAACTCCACCCATTTCCACGCATGTGTACCATTCTCCTCCCTCCTCCTTTCTCCTGTTTTTCACAGTTATGAGGAAAGGCTGAGCCCAGGATGAGCCTCAGCTTTGTCAGACAGGCGACTGTGTGGAGATGGCGCCTCTTACTGAGTGGGAATAGAGGAAGGATTATGAGTGCTGTTCAAGGGTACAGCTGATGTGAGCGATCTGGGGGACACTCGGAAAGGGATGCTAGTAAATCAGACCTTCTGGGAGGGGGCCATTAGCCTGTGAAGAGTAGCTGACGTTACAGGCTAAAAGAACAACACAGAAGACATACATCGGAGCAAAACACCTAGGACACAGCTCTGAAGACGAGCAACATTTGAAAGGCCCAGGGAAGCCGCTGAGATCCACAGCAGATCCGGAGAAGGAAAGAATCCAATGGGCAGAAGAGTCCACGGCACCTGACCTAGGACTGAGTGGGTAACCATGGTTGGGACTAAGCACGTTGGAGAGCCAACCCTGGGAGACTGGAAAACTCATGCAAGTGGCTCAGACGGGCTTGGCTTGTGTGTGTTAGCAGCTCACCTTATTGAACCTGGCAAAAGGGTAGTCTTTGCCCTCCTCTGCTGCTCGTCGCCAGTGGAAAAACATAGCGCCATCCTTTCGAGCTGGGTTGGTAAATGGCATCCACTTCCACGGCCGAACCTTCTTAGATCCCAATTTAGCCTTCACTGTGCGATACCCCTGACCAGTGTCACTCGGCAGTAGTGGGGGTGCATCCCTGGCAGTGGAGGGTAGGTAGGTGAAAGGTTAGAATCAGGTGCGTGAAGAACCACTAAGCCCAAGAAGTTCCAACCGCCCCTAAAGAAGGAAGTCACGTCCTGGAGCAAGACACTGAGCTGCCCTGCAGGAGAAGCCCTGGTTCAGAATGAGTGAGAGCTGTGGAAAGGCCTGGAGGAGGAGACAACCGGAAAGTAGGGACATGCCATGTGGGCTAGGGTCATGCAAAGGGGACTTGGAATCCCAATACTTGCTTCTTGTCAGAGTAGAGCAAAGCATAGACCTCCCGGTGCATGCCCTCGGGCCTCTTGAAAGTCAGCGTCTCCGAGGATTTCTTGGACTTTTTCTGGAGAGAAAACCACAGGGAAGAAACAATGCCCTAGACCTACCCTCACCTGAAAAACTTTTACCCAGCACAATCTCCGAAGAAACCAATGCTGAACTAAAGTCATAGTAACCCATGCACAGGAGTTATCAGTACCCTGTCTGAGCAAGACACCTCTCTCCCGACTCATCTCAACCTTCCCTCACCTCAAGAATGTCACGATGTCTTGGTCTCTCTTCCCAACAACTCACAAGTGTCACACTCTCTTGGTCTTCTCATCCTTTGGAGGTTTCTGACTCTCTTGGTCCCCACCACCCCCCAAAGTCCTATCTCCTGCATCATATTAGGATGGCATGCTTTTCGTTCCAAGGTAGCGCTTCTTCCATCGTGCATTTGATGACGGTGGAATTATCACTTCCACCATCTCTTTCCTGCTCTCACCCCTTCCCATTCCTCCGCCAACACCTTCACCCCCACTCAATGCTCTCAAGTTCCCCCGCTACCTTGTCCGGGTTGATGATATCCTTCTTGCTGATGGTCCCAGAAGCTGCATCTCCTTCTGGACCACCGAGTTCTAGAATGTCCCGTACATCCGCGCCCGTAGCCATCACGCCTGAGAGATGGGGGAGCACCCCCCGAGATCAAGGATCAGTACCTGCGGAAAGACCTTGCGACCGTCAGGGGGGCGGGGCCCCTGTCACTGCAGCTCCAAGTGGGGGCAGGGTGAAGAGGCAGGCCGCGAGGAGAAAGGTACAAACCAGGCCTGGGTTCCGCCTGTGTTCTCCGCCTCCCCGCGCGGGTGTCCCTGACGGTCGCACCGTCCTCCCTGCCTCACCAGTCTCCGGGATCCACACCTGGGAACTCCAGCGGCAACCCACGTCTCAGTTTATCTCGCTCGGCGAACCCACGGACAGAAACTTCCGGCTGTGCGTTGTAGAAACGCGACCGTCAGAAACACTTCCGGTCTGTGCTTGAACAAAAAGGAGCCGGCTGGCAACCCAGGGTGAAAGCCCCTGGGCGCACTGAGTCTTTGAGTGCTGAGTCCATACGTTGCTTGCTTCTGAAACATTTACCTCCTGTCTTGCTCCGTTGTATCCTGGGCTGAAAAGAAAAGCTTAGAGACATTGGAAAGTCAACTGTTCCAAAAAAAATACTTCATTTACAAAATGAAATTGTAGCAGTACCCGCTTAAATGAAATACCAATAACCCATGTAAAACATTAGCACAATGTCTGACACTATTTTTTTTTAATTTATTGGACTAATAATGGTAATTGCCTCTGCTTATTACGTGCCTCTGTATACCAGGCAATTCCACCGTGCTAAACTTTCAGGGCAGAGTAAAACTTGCTTCTCCAGCTTCCAAGAGAGTGAAAGTGCACCTGTCTCTCCATTTGTCTCTCTCTCCCTCTCTGCCTCCCTCTTCCTGCCCGGCTTCTTTCCTTGAGCCCACACATCCAGGTACTTAGTTTGTTAATATTTAGGAGTAACCTGAAGCCCTTGTTTTGTTTTGACAAGGGAGTCTAAGTAGTAGCACGTCGACTTCCTTAACAATTATCAGACTGTTTACTCTTTTTTGGGTTTTCAAGACAGGACAGCCAGGTCCTGGAACTTGCTCTATAGACCAGGCTGGCCTCAAACTCACCTGCCTCTCCCTCCTGGAGTGCTGGGATTAACGGTGTGAGCTACCACCACCTGGAATAAATTAACTTTTAGAGCACATAAGATACTGAAAATTTAGACTCCTAAGTGCACCTATGATCCCAGCACCTAGGAGGCAGAGGCAGGCTGATCTCTGAATTCAAAGCCAGCCTGGTCTACAGAGTGAGTTCCAGGACAACCAGGGTCACACAGAGAAACCCTGTCTTGGGAGGCGGGGTAGATATTAAAATTTTTTCCCAGTTCAAAACTAGATATAGTGATGCATGCCTGTAACCTCACCAGGAGGCAGGAGGCCTGGACTATCCAGAAAGTTTCAGGTGAGCGCCTAGTCTACAGAGTTTAACTCCATCTCCAGAAATGAAACAGAAAGACAGAAGAGAAAGTGATGGAGAGCTCCTTTCCTTTCTGCTGGGATCCGGCTGCTCGCTGTCGAAATGGGTAAGTTCATGAAACCCGGGAAAGTGGTGCTCATCCTGGCTGGACGCTACTCGGGACGCAAAGCCGTCATCGTGAAGAACATTGATGATGGCACCTCAGACCGCCCTTACAGCCATGCCCTGGTGGCTGGAATTGACCGCTATCCCCGAAAAGTGACGGCTGCCATGGGCAAGAAGAAAGTCGCCAAGAGATCCAAGATCAAGTCCTTTGTGAAGGTTTATAACTACAACCACCTGATGCCCACAAGGTACTCTGTGGACATCCACCTGGACAAAACTGTTGTCAACAAGGATGTCTTTAGGGACCCAGCCCTGAAACGCAAGGCAAGGCGGGAAGCCAAGGTCAAATTTGAGGAACGATACAAGACAGGGAAGAACAAATGGTTTTTCCAGAAGCTTCGCTTTTAGGTATATTTTTGTTTACATCATTAAAAGTTTAAAAAAAAAAGAAAGTGATGGAGAAATTGGAGAAATATAGGTAGGTAGGTAGATAGATAGATAGATGATAGATAGAGGATAGATAGATAGATGATAGATAGAGGATGGATAGATAGATAGATAGATAGATAGATAGATAGATAGATAGGGCTGGCTCATTGCTTAAGAGCACTTACTGATATTGCAGAGGACTAGCGTTTGGTTCCTAGCATCTATTTCAAGCTGGTCAAGACAGCCTGTAACTTCAGTTCCATGGGATCTGATGCCCTCTTCTGGTCTCTGAGGACACTGCACACATGCAATAAAATAAAATTTAAAAAATAATATACTATAATAAATCAGAAAGTGCCCTTATTTCAACTTAGGAAAGCAGGGCACACACAATGTCATTATCAGAGGTTAGAAAAGAGAAGAACACCTTGGAAGAACGCAGGATTCTCATCTTGTGTTAGCTGAGCCAGAAACTGAGGGGAGACAGAAAGCCACCCAGAACGTTCTCCTTCCATATCTTGAAGACAAAGCCACACAATAACAGGAAGAGGAAAGAGTTCATAAACCAATGCAAACCATAAAGCAAAAATCCTAAATAAGCTGGGCAGTGGTGGCGCAAACCTTTAATCCCAGCACTTGGGAGGCAGAGGTAGGCAGATCTCTGTGAGTTCGAGGCCAGCCTGATCTGCTAGTTCCAGGACAGGTAGGACTGCTACACAGAGAAACCCTGTCTTGAAAAGCTAAAAAAGAAAAAAAAAAGAAAGAAAGAAAGAAAGAAAGCCTAAATAAATGTGAACAAATCAAACTAAGCAGTGTATTAAAAGAGCAGCCCAACAAATCTAAAGAGGACATACTCCACCAATGCTAGGATGGGTTATCACTAAGACACAAATTGGAGCCTGACACAGGGGCCCACAGCTGTAATCCTAGCACTTCAGAGACTGAGTTCCAGGCAAACTTGGGCTACATGGTAAAACACCACCCACCCCCCCCACCCACCCCCCACACGACATGGATCAATGTATTATTGTATAAATTCAACATAAAAAATGACTGTCTTGATTTATTCATCTCCCAGCGATGACATAATAGGAAAGTAACCTCCCCACAAACTAGACGAGGAATAGCTGTTGTCTGACAGAAAGCAGCAAGAAGGAAACAAGTTCTGAGAAAAGAGCATATGTCCTCCGGCTGGAGAGCAGGCAGGACTGGCCTCAGCCACCCCTACTGCTCAAAACGGCACCAGGTGCTCTGATAATTCCATCAGAGACGGGGGCTGTCAGAGGCAGGGGCATCCCAGAGCAGGGAAGCTGAGGTTTGCAGGCGTTGCCTTCCCCGGTATAGAAAAGCCTAAGAAAATCAATCGACCAACTATTACCACTAATAAGAGAATTCAACAAGGTGACTACATACAAGATCAATGTACAAAAATCAATAGCTTTCCTATATACCAGCAATAGCCAATTAGAAAGTGTAATGGGAAATATAAGATTCTATTCACAATAGCAACAAAAACTATTAAGGGCCTAAGAACAAACCTAAAAAGAGAATTTATGTCAGATCCTTAAGGGTAGTTCAGCATTAGGAAACCCATCGATCTAATTAATCACACTGATAAAATAAAATTGAAAGCTACATAATCGTATTATGTAGCAGCAGAGAAAACACAAAAAACCATTTCTGGTTTTAAAAAAAAAAAAAAAACCCACTGGATAAAATGAGACCATGGGCTGAAGGAATCTTTTTCTTTCAGAACTTAAAAGGAGGCATCACATTCAATGGCTAAACATTAAAGCCGCCCACATTAACTATTTTTAAATGAAGCAGGAACCGTTATTATCCCTTGAGACTTATTTATGTAAAAATGCAATGAAGAAGAATTTGACAGAGGGCCCATCCTCTGGAAGGACCTGTTCCAGAGTCTGCCAAAACCAGGAGTCGCTCTTCCCCACAAACAAGACTGCTGGATTTCATACCATAAAACAGGATGGAAATTAAAGCCTCACCAAAGACAAAGATGAATTCCAAGGGTCTTCCCTTGTTCTTCTCTTGAACGGAGTCCTGGGCAGCCTATGTTTCTGCTCCTCCCAGCAGCACCTCAGGCACACCTGGGGTGACAGGTAGCTGCCACCACGGGAGGGCGCTATGCAGTGCTGGGGTAGAACCCAAACCTTCATGCCTTCTAGGCAAGCATTCCACCCACTGAGCCCCTTTCTGTTTCTTCTTCCTTGTTAAGATCATCACCAAGAATTATCCAGACATTACTTACCCTGTACCCGTCCTCAGACTGAAGAAAATTGTTTGTTTTTAATTGTCCCAATAATCAAAAACCATGAAACTGATTTTGTTCTTGTTGTGGTGGGATCTGGTGGATATCAGAAATGTAGCCTGGCATCTGTGAGCAAAAACAGCTGCCAAACCAATGGGGACGGAACCCTGACACCTGCCGTTGTTGTCTCCTGCTCAGAAACGGTACCTTATTTTAGATTCTGTGTGCTGGGTTAGTTCCTGTCACAGGCATGCCTGGAGGCTTATCTCCTTGGTGATGCTAGCTAGGCCCTAGCGCAGTGACAGCCATCACAGATGGAAAAGGTTGGTCATTGGTTCTCAGTTTATTGGTGGAAGTAAGGAACTTTGATGTTGCAGAGTGGGTGACTGTAGGTGGTAATCTTGTATTGCTAATACATATTCCAGTGCGCTAGAGAAAACAGTTTTTAAAAGTCTTCCAATATAAAGTGACAGGTGGCTCTTCCTGAGATACCATCACAGTGTTCAGTTCTCCTGAGAAAGCTTCTGCTGAGAACCCTCCCAGCAACTGTCTCCCGTGTGCCTGCACCTACTCAACCCCCTTGCTGCACGGTGATGGGGTGACCCTAGAGAGGATAAGGTCAATGCCCTCATTAAAGCAGTAGGTGTCAATGGCCAGCCTTTTTGGTCTGCTTGTTTGCAAAAGTCCTGGCCTATGTCAACATTGGAAGCCTCATTTGCAATGCGGGCCCTGGTGGACCTGCTCCAGCTGCTGGAGTCCTGCAAGTAGCAGGTCATGCCCCGTCCTCAGTGCTGCCCCAGCTGAGAAGCAGAAGCAAAGAGAAGAATCTGAGGAGTGTAATCATGATATGGGCTTTGGTCTTTTTTTTTTTTTTAACTAAATCTATGTTGTTTGTTTATTAAGACAGGGCTTCTCTGTGTAGTTTTGGAGCCTGTCCTGTTGAATAGAAAGATGAACTCATTGGTCTGGAAAAGAAAGAAAAAAATGTGTAAAAAAGTAGATGTCTAAATTAATTGAAATGGTGTACAAAATACACAAATACAAAACATCACATACTCCAGAGATAGGCACTATTTTTCCGGATATGGTGGCTCATATCTTTAATCCCAGATGTAGAGGCAGGTGGATCTC